GTCCTGCTCTCATCTAAGGGAGCATGAATATGATGAATGCAGTATTACACCTGTGATTGTGTGACATTACACAACAAGAGAGGTTTTTCAGATGCAATTAAGAATTATAATTATAAATGGGATTGGTTCCTTGATTTCTCTTTCTCCAGCTTCATTACTAGTTTTTACAAACGCAATACATTTCTGCACATTGATTTTGTATCCTGTGACTTTACTGAATTTGTGTATCAGTTCTAGCAAATTTTTGGGAGGGGGAGTCTGTCAGGTTTTCTATATAGAGTATATAGAGCGTCATGTTATCTGCAAAAAATGAAAGTTTGCCTTCTTCCTTTCTGATCTGGATGCCTTTTATTCCTTTGTGCTGTCTGATTGCTAAGGCTAGGGCATCCCGTACTATGTTAAATAAAAGTGGGGAGAGTGGACATCCTTGTCTTGTTCCTAACCTTAGAGGAATGGCTCTGTTTTCCCCCACTGAGGATGACAGAGCTGTGGGTTTGTTTTTTTTTATATGGCTTTCATTATGTTGAGGTGTGTTTCTTCTAATCCTACTTTGTTAAGGGATTTTATCATGAATGGATGTTGTATTTCGTCAAATGCTTTTTCTGCATCTACTGAAAAGAATCATATGATTCTTATTCTTTCTTTTATAATGTGTTATATCACATTGATTGATTTGTGAATACTGAACCACTCTTGCAGCCCAGGAACAAATCCCACTTGATCATGGTGAAAGATTCTTTTAACGTAGTGTTGGTTTGCTAGTATTTTGAGAATTCTTGCATTCTGTGTTCATGAGGGATATTGGCCTATAGTTCTCTTTTCAGTGGAGTTGTTACCTAGTTTTGGTATGAGGACAGTACTGGCTTCATAGAATGAATTTGGAAGTTTTCCTTCCATTTCAATTTTTTTAATAGTTTCAGAATGACAGGTATTAACTTTTCTTCAAAGATTTGGTAGAAGTCACCCATGAAGCCATTTGGCCCTGGACTTTGGTTTGTTGGGAGATTTTCAATCACTGATTCAATCTCTTTGCTGGCTACTGGTCTGTTCAAGTTTTCTATTTCTTCCTGTTTCAGTTTTAGTAGTTTATGTTTCTAGGAATTCATTCATTCATTTCTTCCAGGTTGTCCAATTTGATGGCATATAGTTTTTCACAATATTGTCTTATAATTGTACTTTTGTGGTGTTGGTTGTTCTTTATCCTCTCTCATAAGTGATTTTATTTATTTGGGTCCTTTTTATTTCCTTTTTGATAAGTCTGGGTAGGAGTTTATCAATTTTATTAATTTTTTCAAAGAGCCAACTCCTGGTTTCATTGATTTGTTCTATCGTTTTTTTAGTTTTTATATAATTTATTTCTGCTCTATGTATAATAACCTTTATTATTTCCCCTCTTCTGACGGCATTAGGCTTCTTTTGTATCTCTCTTCTAGCTCCTTTAGGTGTAAGGTTAGGTTGTTCATTTGAGATTTTTTTCTTGATTCTTGAGGTTGGCCAGCATTGTTATATACTTCCCTCTAATGATCGCTTTTGCTGCATCCCAAAGGTTTTGAACACTCCTTATCTTTCCTTCTGTCAGAAAATTACTATTTAAAAAAATCTCTAGAGATGATGAACGAGATCTTCAGGTACAAGAAAATGTCTCTAGTGAGCAGCAAATGGACAGTTTTCATTTCATTTTCATTTGTTTCCATGTATTTTTAAATTTCTTCTTTGATTTCCTGGTTGACCCATTTATTATTCAGTAGCTTGTTGTTTGTGATCTTTCCAAATTTGTAGTTGACTTCAAGTGTCATAGAGTTGTAGTCAGAAAACATGCATAGTATGATCTCAGTCTTTTTTTACTTGTTGAGGCCTGATTTGTGACCTAGTATATAATCTGTTGTGGAGAATGTCCCATGTGACTTGAAAAGAATGTGTACTCAGGTGCTTTAAGATGGAATGTTCTTAGTATATCTGTTAAGTTCATCTGGTCCAGTGTTTCATTCAAAGCCACTGTTTCCTTGTTGATTTTCCACTTAGATGATCTGTCCATTGATACAAGTGGGGTGTTAAAGTCTCCTACTTATTATCAATGAGCTCCTTTATGTTTGTTACTGTTTTAGATATTTGCATGCTTCCATGTTGGGTGCATAAATATCTACAATTGTTAGATCTTCTTGTTGGACAGTCCCCTTTATTAGTGCCCTTCTTAATTTCTTGTTACAGTCTTTGGTATAAAATCTAGTTTGTCTGATATAAAGATTGCTACTCTGGCTTTCCTTTGATGCTTGATGTTTCTTCATCCCCTCACTTTCAATCTGTAGGTCTTTATGTCTACAATGAGTCTTTTGTAGGCAATATATAGATGGTTCTTTTTTTTTTTCATTCATTCTGACACCTTATGTCTTTTGATTGGAGCATTTAGTCTATTTACATTCTGAGTCATTATTGATATTATATTTAGCGCCATTTTATTACTTGTTTTTGTTATTATTTCTGGAGATTTTATCTATTCCTTTCTCATCTTTATCACTTTTGGTCTTTCTTTTCTGCTGAAGGAGTCCCCTTTAATATTTCTTACAGGGCTGGTTTAGTGGTTACAAACTCCTTTAGTCTTTTGTCTATGAAACTCTTTATCTTTCCTTCTATCAGAAAATTACTATTTAAAGAATCTCTAGAGATGATGAACGAGATCTTCAGGTACAAAAAAATGTCTCTAGTGAGAAGCAAATGGGTTGCGAAGGTGAGGTGAATGATATAAGATGCCCCGCCGCCCATGAATGACCTAAGAGGTGAGCAGAAAAGAGACTCCTAGTTTATAACGTCCAGTGAGCCTAGTTCTTATAATCTTTGCTAATAGGACATTTTGTTTGCTCTTTTCTTCAATTTAAAGCTATGTCCTTTGTTTCATTTTAATTCTTCTGACTTTGAGTTGCACTTGTTTGATATTAATACTGCAACATATACTACTCTTAGGTTATTTGCATTTTCCTGGTACATCTTGGCTTCTCTTTTTATTCTTAAGCCATACAGCATTATTTAGGAGGGAGTTCACTCATAGGTAGAATATAGTTAACCTTCCTTTGCAAAAAAGAAGTTTAAACCATTTTCCTTGGTTGTCATAACTTAGTTTTTGTCTAGTTACATTACCTTTTTCTTTCTTTTCAATGTTCTCTTGCTTTCTTTTTCTCTGGACCATGCTTTATTAGCTATTATTCACATTGACTTCAAAAGTATTTAATTTTTTTTCCATAGGCGTCCCAAATTACATACTGTATTTTTAATTTTACTAGTGGTTCTTATGAAGGTTTTTTAACATATTGTTTAACTTGTACTTCCCTGTTTTTCAAGATCAGGAATGGAATGTCACCTTTTGACATCATGTGAGATGACAATGCTGAGAACAAAGTAGGCCATGAAGAAACACTTATTTAATTATATGTAGTTGAAATCAGTTCTCTCTTCAATCTCATTTGAAATTATTTGAAACATGAAACTCACACAATGGCTCAGGCAGCTGGGGGTGGGAGAAGTTTCAACAATACTGCCCCTGGTAATGCAAGCAAAAATGTGTCTAAATGAATGGTAAGAGAGCACTGCCACAGTTTTGTTATTATCACTTAGTTATTACTTAATACTCATTATTGAGAGTGATGGAAGGGATATATTTTGAAATGTGTGTCTAAAAATCAGTTCAGTAATTGACAATCAGTATCTCTTCCTGCTCAGATGAAACCCAGTGGAGAATGACTGGTTCATTTACTTTTCAGTGTCTTTTGCTTCCTTATCTAAACTCCCAGGTGTAGCAGTACCTCCACAGCTTCCAAAAAGAATGTCTGAGTGCCTGCATGTGGCATCCTGTCCAAGGGCAATTTAACTGTCAGGATATATCATCATCAAGTCCTTTAGCAAGTTGCCCACTTACCACTATAGCTCTATGAATAGCTTTATCAGGATGACACAGTCTTAATCACTTAAATCCAAGAGAGAATAGTAGAAAGCTGTTTCAAAGGTTCACACAGTGGTTGCATTAAAGGGTGTGGAAAAACATGATGACTATGAAGGTATTTTGTGAGAAAAATCAGTCATCATTTCGATTTGCCTTCCATTTCCTGCTCATATTATTTTTCCAACTGCCTATACAGCTGATCAAGAGATTTGTTAGCATGACTCCCAGAGGCTTCTGGGAAAGTGACCTCTCTCCTGGCTCTACAATACTAAGTTTAAGAATATACTTGGATCATGGGGCATCTGGGGGGCTCAGTCGGTTAAGCGTCCAACTTCAGTTCAGGTCATGTTCTCACAGCTCATGAGTCCAAGCCCCACATTGGTCTCTGTGCTGACAGCTTAGAGCCTAGAGCCTGCTTTGGATTCTGTGTCTCCTCCTCTCTCTGTCCCTTCCCCACTTGCTCTCTCTCTCTCAAAAATAAATAAACATTAAAAAGAGAGAGAGAATATACTTGAGAGAGGAAGCAGTAGGTTGCATGCACAAACATGATAAATAAGGACTATTCATGCTTAAGTTTACTGTATTGTGTTGTTACTGCCTACTATGATTATATCCAGTGTTATATTGAGAGACTGAATATACAAATAACAATGACTAGACCATATATAAAAACAGAACTCTGACCTACAACCTGCAACAAACTGCCTAGCAAATCAACCTACCCAGGAAGCCAGCCTCCTAGAAGTTAGACCTGTAGGAAGTCACATTGCTATCTCTAGTGATGGTCCAGGACGTCAGACAATAACCCCAGTAGCAATTGTCCTCAAATGACCACAATTTGTTTAATGATGGACAGTTTTCCTTATATTTGTCCCCAAGCCTGCCTACAGCTGCTTCTTGTCTGCAGCTTCCAATAAGGGCGTACTTGAAGCCCCACTCTTCTGTCTGCCTCTGAGTATCTGCCAAAATGCAAGTGACGGCAGCTGGCTCCCTGTAGCAAGCTCTGAATAAATAGCCTTTGCTTGTTCTCACTTGGTTGGTCTTTATTTAGTTCCAGTATAGAGTTGAGCTTAAGGAGGTGCTTCTGGTGTCAAAGAAGTGGTCCCTAGCACATCCCCAGGCTACTCTACTTAGAGAAGTATTCCAGCCTTAGGTAGGTAAGTCAAGATGTAAAGAGAAAGACTATTAATTCCCCAGAAGGACTGATAAGATTCTCACTTGGGTCTTATCATCTGTAACTATGTACACAGTGGTGAGGATTCCAGGAGCTAGAATCTCCATCTGGCCTGAATGATATTGCTGACCTCTGGGATGTATATCGTGACTGTCCTGACTTCCTTTTGTAGCCTTAGAGAATGAAACCCTGCTTGATGTACCCAAAGAGCATGTGTGTGGTCTTTCTGTCAGTCTGAACTTACAATGACTCCGTCAATACAATGGTCATGTACACCCCACATTTCAGACTGGGTAGGTAACTGTTACATATTTTGGAATTGAACATAAAGATTTTTGTTTTCTTTCCCAGGCTAGAATTTATAAATGACTGCTTGTGGTAGTATTTCTTAACCTGGTACCATTTAGGGGAGAAAGGGCAATGAGGCAGAGAGAGCAGCATAAGAAAGGCAAGGAGGCAGGGACATACAGGGTAATGCTGCACATCTCATGAGCTTCCAAAATACGCCATATGGTTTATACCAAACCTCCAATGGACACTTGCAGCTTGTACAAGCAGACGGATTAGTGGAAGGAAAAACTGAAGCCAACACCTTTGCCCCAGGGGAAGCCTTTTTAAGACCATTATTTCGGAGTTCTCTGGAACTAAAGGGGAGCAAGCAAATCTACACAGGCTCTTCTGAGTTTCCAAGACATCGCCATCTGAGTGCTTTTCTTCATTCCCACGGCACAAGGATCACAGTCACATTTGACTCTAAGTGGAAACTTGACACAATCCAGATGTCCATTTTCAATCCTTTGAGACCTAAATATGTCAACAAATATTTTCAGAGGGAACATTAGGTTTTATTCGCTAAATATGAATGTCTAATTCTCTCTTTGCATTGCCAAGTCCCTCTTTGGTATTAATCATGGTTGCTAATATTCACATCATCATCCATAACTAAGCTCCCAATCGGTCAATTTGTGATACATCATTCAAGTATCAGTGATTCTTTTTTAATTTTAAGATTTTCCTATCTTATATGTATACTGTAGAAAATAAGAAAGAAAAAGAAATAAGGAAGGAAGGAGAAAGGGAAGGAAAGAAAGAAAGAGGAAAGAAGGGAGTTCTCTTAATAGCAATTCCACTACTGATATTTTGGTATAATATTTTCCAATCTTGTTGATGTTATGTAATTGCAACATATACACCATTTCATAACTTCCTTTAGTCAATAATATGTTAACACTTTTCTACATCATTAAACACTCTACGATGTAAAAGTTAATGACAGGAGAGCATTTTAATGTTTGGAGAGTCCACACAATGTCTCCTACTGTTAATAATTCATTGTTTCCTAGTTTACATTATTATAAGGAACACTGCTATTAACATCTTATAACTAAACATGGAAACTGAGTTTCTGGACCAAAAAGCTAAGCACATCTTTACAACTCTTTTCTTCTATGGTTATTTCTGAGAGAGAGCCATGAGCGGGGGAAGGGTAGAGAGAGGAGACACAGAATCTGAAGCATGCTCCAGGCTCTAAGCTCAGACCTGAGCTCAGAGACTGTGAGATCATGACCTGAGCTGAAGTCAGATGCTTAACCAACTAAGACACTCAGGCGCCCCAATATGACTTTTGATCTCTGAATCAAAGAGCCCTCCAGAAAGGTTGTAAGAATTTATACTCCGTCTAGCAGGGCATGAATGTGTTCATTTTCCCATATCCTCTTTGTATGAGTATTATACTTAAGGAGGTCATTTTCCCTCCCTTTCCCCCTTCTTCCCTTTCTTCCTCTTGCCAACTGTTAATGCAATATTACACCAGGGTTTTGCTAAAAGAAAGGTTTATTTGTCTTGTCCACATTTCACCACAATGCATCCCAAGGACTGGTGATAGAATCTGAAGAATGTGACTCAGCTCTTCCAGGACAGATCAGGCACCTTGGGGGGAAAAAGCAGAGTAATAGAAGAAAGCCTGGGGACTGGGGTGGAGGTGGGGAGAACAATGAGAAAAATATTGATCCTTAACTAGGAAAAGACTCTAAGAGTGGTAGGTGACTACATGAGAAAACTAAATCAATGTTTTGCTCCATCCTCTGGATACACTGTCCAGCCTGGACTGTAACTCCAGACTTATGTCATTAATGACCTATTTTGAGATTTACATTTGTTTTGCTATTTCTCTCATAACCACTATCACCAACATACACTCCATTAGGAAAACTTATTCACCCTACCTCCAAAATACAGTTTGATTTGATCCTCTTTTCTCATACGACTATAGATTCTTAATTGTTTTCCCTGTTTCTACCATCCATTCTGTACACAGTAGCCAGGGAATGAGAATCACATTATGTCATCTTCCAGATAAAAATAATTTATTGGCTCTTAGAATAGAATCACAACTCCTTATGTGGCCTACAAGCCTCTACTCATGAGTGGGATCCTGTCCACCTCTCCAACACCATGGGACACTAATTCTTGCCAATCCCCATCATTCTGTACCAACCACACTGACATTGCTTCTGTTTCTAAAGCACACGGAGTTCTTTCTCACATTGGAACTGCTGTTTTTGCTGTTCCACCCCTTGATTACTCTTCTTGTTTTGGGGGAGGGGGAGGGGCAGTACTTCTCATCCATCATACCCCACTTCAGAAAGAGCCTACTTGGCTAGCCTACTACTGTCAGCTTCAATCAGCAACCCATTTACTTTCCATCACACAACCCTACTTTTTTCCTTTGTTAGGAAACCAAAACAACTTTGTCTCCTTGGTCATTGTCTTCTTTAGAACATAATCTCTATGAGACCAATGACTTACTTTGCTCTGACCTACCGTATCTCTATCACCTAGCAGAATGCCTAGCACATTGTTGACACTCAAAAAATGTTTCATGAGTAAATGGAAGGTATACGCACAGTCAAACAAAATCATATTTTCTTTGTGGTAAAAGATTTTTCTCTGATTTACATACAATCATTATATGTATAACCAAGGAGTTACATGATTTTTAAATATTTTTAAATTTGATTGATGAAAAGAAGTATGGCATTGTTTGAATAGTCTAAAACCTATTTAATCATTGTGTCATTGGAAATACAGTTTTTATAATTTTTCATTATTATAAGCAATATTACCATATATAAACTTGAAGCTAATATATAATTATTAAAATTTCTTGCTAAAGTGGCTTTGCTAGATCAAAATCTTCTTATATTTTCATCAAATTTCCCTCTGAAAATATTTCACCAATTGATTCTCCATCAGCAGTGAACTAAAGTTCTTTTTTTAAAAAAAATTTTTAATGTTTATTTTGAGAGAGAGGGAGACAAAGTGTGAGCAGGGGAGGAGAGGAGGACACAGAACAGGAAGCAGGCTGAGCTGTCATGAGCCCTCCTCCATGCTCATCACCTCCCTTCCGCCCCCCCACCCCCATCAGCCGTCAGTTTGTTCTCAGCATTCAAGAATCTCTCATGGTTTGCTTCCCTCCCTCTCCCCAACTATTTTTCCCCTTCTTCTCCCCATAGTCCTCCGTTAAGTTCCTCCTAATCCACCTATATGTGCAAACATGTGGTATCTGTCCTTCTCTGCCTGACTTATTTCGCTCAGCATAACACCCTCAAGGTCCATCCATGTTGCTACACATGGCCAGATTTCATTCTTTCTCATTGCCATGTAGTATTCCATCGTATAGATGAACCACATCTTCTTGATCCATTCGTCAGTTGATGGACGCTCAAGCTCTTTCCATGTTTTGGCTATTGTTGAGAGTGCTGCTATGAACATTGGGGTACATGTGCTCCTATGCATCAGCACTCCTGTATCCCTTGGGTAAATTCCTAGCAGTGCTATTGCTGGGTCATAGGGGAGTTCTAGTGTTTATTTTCTGAGGAATCTCCACACTGTTTTCCAGAGGGGCTGCACCAGTTTACATTCCCACCAACAGTGTAGGAGGGTGCCCGTTTCTCCACATCCTCACCAGCATCTAGAGTCCTCTGATTTGCTTAATGAAAACCATTCAAATACCAACAAGAAAATTACTTGGGGGCATTGCATTAAAGCTGGCATGATAAATGAGGTCTCTCGTGCAGGACATTGTCCTATTGGTGGTGGTCTTTTCTTTCACATTTATCTGCTCTCCCTGGATGACACCATCCTCCTTCACAGGTACTACATCCACACCAATAACCACCACATCCAGATTCTGGGCCAACATGTAAAGGAAGTTACCCAGACCATGAGAAGTAGGAGAAAACTAGAGTCAGAAGGAAAGAACTGGGGTCCAGGGCAAAGGCTCTGATGGGGAAGGTGAATGTTGTACATGCTGTGCTGGCTCTATTATTCAGAAGCCAGGGATCAGCTCTGGCTCATTCATCTTCTGTTTGCTCTGGCCAAGGTCAAAGTGAGGCCAGCTATAATCTGTCACCGCAAGAAACATGGATACTACTTAGAACCAGAAATAAAGAACTCGGTAGGGGACACTGAGCAAGGAAAATATGCATGGCTTTTTCTCAAAATGCACATTGGCAGGAAAATCAGGAAACGAGGCTCTCAGAGCAGCTAAAGACCAGACACCCACTCAACTGTCACAATTATATTTCATGGACTGAAAGGATGGGAAAGGTGTTCAAGAATCATTTCCCTCTGAGTATGTCTTAAATATCCACTTTTTACATAAAGAGACTGGTATACTGCTGCTATTTAAAGAAAAGCTATACTCTAATAGAAATCAAAACCTGAATATTAAAAATAAATCAGTTGGGCTTAATTTTCCAGAGATAACTGAACGAAATTTTCAAAATATCCTTATACATGACTCTGAGGGTTTTCTTGAAAGTGATTTAAAAGTGAGAGAATTCAGGGGGCGCCTGGGTGGCTCAGTTGGTTAGATGTCCGACTTTGGCTCTGGTCGTGATCTTGCGGTCCGTGGGCTCGAGCCCCGTGTCAGGCTCTGTGCTGACAGCTCTGAGCCTGAATTTTACTTCAGATCCTGTGTCTCCCCCCTTTCTGCCCTTCCCCCACTCGCACTCTGTCTCATTCTGTCTCTCAAAAATAAATAAATGTGAAGAAATTTTTTAAAAAAATAAATAAAAGTGAGAGAATTCAGGATACCAGTGTTTAGGATTGTTTTGTTTGTTACTGAATTATTGACTAAAATGATTGGTTTCATCTTTCCTATGTTCAATGCAGGGAGGCACAGAGGAAACTGTCATTGACTACTGAAGGTTAAGAAAATAGATACCTCAAAACAGTTAAAAAGCACACATAGCTATAAAAAGGCAGAATTAAGGGCTGGAAATCGGAACTTCAGATTTTAATTCTGGCATTATTTTTACTCTATCATTCCTTTTACTATAAAATTCTTGTTTTCTAGGATTTTATGCTAAGGCTAAATATTTGATTTAAAACAATTTCTACTGATTGGTAATATTTGAACACTATGAAGATAAGATTGAGGAAATGAGGAGAATCAGAGAAAGAACAAGTTGTCATCATACCCTTTCATTTAATCAATGGCTCTGAGCCAAAGAGAGAAGAGGAGTGCCCCTGTAAAAAGCTGATGTGTGACACCCAAAATTCTAAAAATAGCTATCTCCAATTTAAAAAAACAACTTCTAATCATTCTCTTACAGGAAAGCATGCAATGGGTTGTGAAGCTCAACAGAAGAAAAGGAGCTCTGTCAAGAAGCCGGCCTGGGTTTAAGTCCCACCCAGCTCTGTCACTAACTTACCGCGTGGCTTTGGGCTAAGCCACTTACCTCAGGCACACTTTTCTCATTCAGATAATGGAAAAGAATGAAGCAGCCACTTATGGG